CTTTGACAGGATTCGAACCTGCATCCTATACGGAACCGTCATTTATGCTGACGTGCCTTACCAATCAGCCACATATTTTCTATGAAAATTTCTCGGACATAAATAAATTGTCGGACTTTGTCCATTTCTAATATATATATATATATATATATATATATATATATATATATATATATATATATATATATATATATATATATATATATATATATATATATATAATAAATGCGGAGCAGATTTTACCCACATGCGGTGGAATCAGTCAGTTATGTGCCATGCGTGATACACGCTTAGGCGATCATGTATTTCTTCAGATTTCTTCCCGCAGTAGGTTGCTATTTCTTTGTAGACCAGTTGCCATCCAAGGCTATAGAACCCGGTTTGTCCTGGGGGTGGGGGGCGAAGAAGAGGATTCATACCTTTCCCAAGGCTATTAGCACATAAGTGAATGATATGGATTCGAATGGAATTCAAACTCGGCTCTCCGATTCCTCAATCTGAGCCGCTATCCATTACTCCATGCCTCCTGACGGTGGTGGAACAGTATTTGTTAAAAATACAATATAGATGTAGATGACGTCATAACAGTAACAGTAAATGACGTCATAAGACAAATTGTTCAATTCCCCTAGACCAGTGGTTCCCAAACAGTGAGGCGCGCCTCAGATGTACGGTGGAAGAAGATAGCAGGTGAGGCGGAAGATTGAAAGATAATCAAATATTTTTTAAAAATTCATATGCCAAAAATAAATAAGATTTCATAATTTAAAACAATATTATGGATTACTTGTAATTGCGTGCACGAGTCCAAGTATAAATAGATATAAAAAAAAATAATTGACCGATTTTATCATTGTGATATTTTTACATTATATCAAGTATTAAGAATATAGTAACTAGGGTCCGCAAATTGGAGGAGACAGTTATCAACGATAATATTCTGACTTCGTATCCGCGGTTATCTCCCTTTAAGCCCCTCTGTTTTGGGTTTGTTTTTTTTTAAATGTACTTTTTATCATATGAAATTTGGTGTGGCGCGAACAAATTTTCATTACGAAAATGCGGTCCAGAAAAAAAGTTTTGAACCACTGTCCTAGACAAACAATTGTGTGTGTATATATGTATGATATGCGTGTGTCGTAACCCATGAGGGTCGTCTAGGCACTACATTTTCTGCGGCCATAGCAGCATTGGTGTGCCATAGGGCAATATAAGCCTGCCGGAGTCCTTCCCTCTTCAGGCTGGTTTTGAATTCAGAGTTTTCCTTCTCCTAGACTGGTTGCCATCTTAAGGCAGGAGAGTCCAGCTTGTCCTGCTATTTAACCTATAGCAAGGTCTTTAACGCGAAGTGAATGCAACAGAATCGATCGGGAATTGAACTCGGCACGCCTAATTCACTTTCCGCGCTAATATCACGTACACCTATAAAAAAACAATTACCAGTAACATCGTCAGATTATTCTCTGAGAAAAATGGCGCCAAATCAAACTTGACAGCTTAAAGAATTAAACAAAGGATGATTGATCAATGCCTGAAGGCGATGAGCTGGTGATGACGTTACTAGAATATATAAAAATTTGCAACCACTAACCTGGCTACCAAATTGGAAGTGGAGGTGTACGAAGTGGTATCCAGTTGTGAGGCAGTGGATCAGAGTATGACGCCGATTGGATCACCTGGAGAAGGGTGTCTAATGTTGAAAAACCCGAAATCCCTGATAGTGTCGGTTGTAAATGACAACTAACGACACACTTTGTAAGCGCCTCGGAAAGCATATTTTGTGGACGATTTTTTTTTAATCAATTCACCCCAAATAAGGTGATAATGCCACTAAGACGCATGGGGGCTACTGTGAGTTAAAGAGAATGAGAAAACTTTAGAATGACCCGGAAACCCAATCCTAAACAAGAAACAAGGAATAAACCTCTAATCCTTTTCTATAGACCGGGGAGGAGTGTGAACCGGGCGATAAGCGAACCTAATATTCTGTAAAAGATAAAGTTTGCATTTATCCCAGTTAAAAATATTGTTCATAAAAATGCCAGGCTTTATTTTCTAAATGAAATAAGTTCAGCAAATTTTTATTTTTTAGTTAGCAGCATGGCCCGGTGTTGCCCGTGCTTGATTCAAAAATCGTACGACTCATACAGCAATCGCTATCAGTTGACTTAAAATATTTTTGCCATTCCTTGCCTTTAAAGGAGTGCCCTTTGCCGTGCTGATGTTGCTACATGCCTTACTTCTTGCCTATCTCACACTGCGAATTTTTTCTAAGCTCTATACTAAACATTACATCTGTTACGAAAAAAAGAACTAAACAAAATGAACACAAAACGATCAGCTTTAAAAAAGGACTCGTAACTGGAAAAACCAAATGAAAAAAGAATGTTAACAACAAATACTTTTTCACACCCAACCCAGTTCTGCGGAATCAGAATCAACGTTGAGTTTAAGCAAGCGAATGAGCCAACTGGAGTAAAGTGCCATGCAGATTTAAATTTTTCCCACTTGTGACGAATGCAGCTAGCGATTTTTTTTTTTTTTTTGCATGCTAGCATGCGAGTTAACATTCGTGTCCATCAGCTGTTGGCTCTCACGCTGGCCAATAGAATCTTCCTGCCTATTCGTGGCAGCCAGCTATAGGCTCTCACTCTGGCCAGTAGAAAATGGCCGCAAACTACATGAAAACTGTCGTAGAAGCATCAAAAAATCGATTATTTCCACTATCGATGACCTTCCCACTAACTTGACCTCCCCACTAACTTGGAGCATGTGCATGTAAATTTTGGTGCAAATCCGTCGAAAATTGCAGCCGTGCATTCATTACACACACACACACACACACACAAATACTGCCTTTTATAGATGGAGATTTCAAAAGATAAATGGCATAGAAACATTTAATTAACTTATTGTATTATTTTTTTTTTTTTTTACACATTAATGAGAATTTATTGACATTCCATAAGAATCATGTCTTTCTTTAGTTAATTTTTCAACAGTTTCGGTCGAAATATTGTTATGTACCGTACCTATGAACACTAATGGGTATATTTTAGTCCTCATAAATACGTTGGACACTATTGTACGTGGGGATAATATGCTGTCTAATTAGTCCACTACTAACAGTAGTTTACCTATTTCACACCGCTGGCGTGTATTGTATTTTGTTGATGTTATAAAGATTACCATTTCATTTTTAACCTCTATTTTGGTTATTCCTCATTCAGTAACCCTTCTTAGGTTACAACAAATATTCTACGATAAAATCAGACATTCTCGCTTGTGGAACTCCTTTCCGGCTTTAATCTGCAAAAATTTAAACGCATTGTCAATCGCTATCTACTCTTCTCCTGACTTCTCTTTTCTCTTTCCGCTCATTAGTAATGTTTCTGTTCTTAATTCTTCCACACCCAGTAACCCCCTTGTGTCTTAGTGGCTTTACTGCCGAAAAAATATTACGTTGGTAATGGTAATATTAACAGTTTTCCCTACAAGGAAATATTTGGCATTTATTGACTGAGTAGCAAGTACTGCTTTTGGTTGAAATTTATAAAATCTTTCCCTTAAAACAATTTTATTTGGAAAACACGTTTCTTAAGTCCAACAGCTGTTTTCAATCTTTCCTGTAGTGATGGGGTGGGGGTCCTTGCTATTTTGTAGTAATTGTTGTACTTGGCCGAATTGATAAAAATTATTATTATTAGCGTTATATATATATATATATATATATATAAAAGTGAACATAGAAGTCAACACTTAGAGGCGACACAGTCTGTTTCATCTTAGATGCAATCTGAACAGCACTCGTAGCCTGACGATTGCATCTAGCATGAAACAGACTGTCGCCTCTAAGTGTTGACTTCTATGTTCACTTTTATATTTACACACGCTCTATCTCTGATATTGAGCACTTTATCCCATAAATATAGCACATCTTAAGACTATATTTCTTCATAAATATATATATATATTAAAGAAAAAAAAACACACACACACACACACATATATATATATATATATATATATATATATATATATATATATATATATATATATTATGAAATGGACAAAGTCCGATAATTATGTTAATACATTTTATGTTTATACATTCTTTTTATAGATACAAATATTTAAGTAAATGCTGTTTATAATAAACGGTATTAAACATTTACATTGTCGAAGGATGAATATTTTCTGTGACAATTTCTCGGACATTCAGGCCGGTAGATGTTGTTTAATACTGTTTATTATAAACAGAGCATTTACTTAAATATTTGTAGCTATAAAAACAATGTATGAACATAAATGTCTTAAATATATATATATATATATATATAATGTTATATTTATATATATACATAATGTATATATATATATATATATATATATATATATATATATATATATATAATGTTATAATGTTATAATTTCATTATAAGGAAAAATTAGGCATTCAGTGACCGAGAACCCAGTACTGATGTCGGTTGAAATTTATCAAATGTTTCCCTTAAAACGATTATTTTAGGAAGGCTGGTTCCTCAAGTCAAGTAGCTGTTATAGCTCTTTCCAGTACTGATGGTGGGAGGGCCTTCCTAATCTTTTATTTGAAGTAGTGTGGAATGTCAACATCTTGATTATGTCATTATTTTCTCTTAGAGTTACAAGTGATATCCATTTCAGTTGTTGGTGCTGTTTGTAGTCCTCAAGTGAAGTGGTTTCTGTTACTTCGTACAGTACTTTTTTTGTGATTCTGTCAAGAGCCTTAGGCATCATTCGCTCGTACGATCGCCGAAGCTTAGCAACGTCGAGCCTAGTCATTACCTAGATGGGTGACAGTTTAGGAATACAGGGTGATATACCCTTGGATATGCGAGTGGTGTAATGGATAGAAGCTCGGAATTGGAAATAGGAGAGCCGAGTTCCAATTCCAGTCGGTTTCGTTATATTCACTTACGCATAAATATCTTTGGGAAAAGAATGAATCCCGCACACCCAAGCTTACAGCGTCCGGTATTTCCAATCAGTCACTCATCTAGATACTGACCAGGACCGATGTTGCTTAACTTCGGTGATCATACGGGAACCGGTGTTTGAACATGATGTGGCCGTAAGTCTTGAAGGGTCCTGAAGCGACAGAGATGGAATTCTACTAGATCAGTTTTGGAAGGTTGCCATCTACTTGCATACCAAAACAGCCATGAAACCCACCAATGTCGGTCTGACGATTGAGTCTAGCATGAAACAGCGTGTCGCCTCTGAGTGTTAACTTCAATGTTTACTTTTATATTTATATTTACATTCGCTCTATCTCTGATATTGAGCACTTTATCCCATAAATATAGCACACCTTAAAATTATATTTTTAATATATATATATATATATATATATATATATATTAAGTATTTTTTTAATACCTATACACTGGCGGTGTGAAAAAAAACCCAGATAATACAATTCATAAATAAAAAATATATTTGAACAAACCAATATCAGGGAAAAAAATTCAGTAAAAGAAGAAAAGACTAAAGACATCCGTGTCGGTCGAAAATAATCAATCAGAACCGCAATGCCTAGTCAAAAGAAGAAACAGCGACAAAGTAAATTAAGTAAAAACGTAAAAGTGCTCAATACCCTGAGTAGAGCAAAACCTTGGTAGGTAGGTTCTGGCTCACTAGGTTATATATATATATATATATATATATATATATATATATATTTTGTTGGATTGATGTGAGTTTGTGACTCTGGGTTTCACGCTATTTGCGATCGTCAGACAAACACATCGCAAATAGCGTGAAACCCAGGGTCACAAATTCACATCAATCCAACTAAATATATTAGCTCTGTCACTGATATTGAGCGCTTTCCAATAAGTATATAATATATAAATAATATATATAAAAAATTACATATATATATATATATATATATATATATATATATATATATATATAATTATTTATTTAAAAATTATAACATAAATATGTTATAAAATCACAAATAGCCTTACCCTCCATTTGTTATCGAGCTCTTAGGGTTTTGGAGATAGACACTCATAACCATATATATTCTGAAACTACATTACCCGATGTACTTGAATAAGTATATTTCATTTTGATCAAAGGAGGTCCCGGGGGGCACAACACCCCCACCCACTGAATTTTTTCCCCTTTGATTTAAATTTGAACAAGAGAATGGCTCCTATTTAAACTATAGAAAGAGAAAGCCAGAAGATGGAGGTCACATCGGCAAGATTAAAATGTGACAATATGAACGTCAAGCTGAGCAAGAAATCACCAGTCAGAGCATAGTGCCTTACAATACATATATGTTCTGACAATTAACAGTCATATCAATGTTGAAATCTTTTCATTAATTCATGCAATCAAGTATTGCATCAAAGGGCTCAGATCAGGCTGTTTTTGCACAAACCCCCACTTAAAAAAATTTCCCTTTGATTTAAATTAAATTTAAATTTGAACAAGGGAATCAAAAATAAAGACGGAGAAAGCCAGAAGATGGAGGTCACATCGGCAATTTCATTGAGTAATACTGAAATGCATCATTTTTCTCCACAAATTATAACAATTATTTAAAATTATTCATCGTTTTCTTCCAAATATATGTGTGACACGCAGAAAGGCGCGTGTAATTCGGCTAGTTGTTATACAAATGGGAGACACTGTCAAGGAAAGGCAAAAAACACTTCAGGTGCAATGCGTGTGTGTGTGGTGTATGTTATGGAACAGATGTGCCACTCCTATTCTCTGATTGCTCACTTTATTTCTCACCGCCCTCTGGATCTTTCCACCATTACCAGGGAATCACTTGACTAGACGAATACTGTCATATAGGACATAAATGAATGGAATCGTCCGTTTACATAAATAAGCGGAGTTGAGCAGAGCATTAGGTCTTATCCACGCGCTAAGCTCTTAGTGCTTGACAACCTCTCTACCTTCGGACAGAGAGTAACCCATACGAGACTCTGCCCTTCTGTATAGCCTCGTCTGGGGAGATAGACAGCTACCCGACCCGAGTATACGGGGTCTACGGGCAATTTTTGCCTGAGCCTACGGGCTCGGAATCGCCCCACGTAAAAACCGGCCTTGTGCCACATCTCACCTTTGTGGGAGGTCTGGGTAAATATCTAGGTCTTAGCCGCGTGCTAAGCTCTTAGTGCTCGTTCGAATTCTCTGCCTTCGATCAGAGAGGAACCCAGACGAGGCTTTCACGTCTGGAAAGATAGACAAACCCGACCCCTTGAAAAGACCCACGTAAAACCGACCTTGTACCACATCCTGCTCTGTGAGGAGCTCGGGTCAATACCGAGTTAGCATTAGTTCAACTGCTAGGTACTTTCGTCTAGTAAATCTATTTCATTCCTTACCTACAAGTTTCTCTTCCATATTTATTTCCCTCAAAAACACGAGATACAACAAATATTAAGACTACCATGGACTAAACATGCGAACAATGAGGAAGTTTTCAGGAAAATAGGGACTACAAGGAAACGTATACTTACAATCAGAAAGAGAAAACTGAAATTTATGGGACAAATGACGGGGAAGAAAATAAAGAATGAGTGCACATCTCTACCCTTCCTTTTAAAGAAAGATTCCTTTGAGACCACCGATTAGCTGCAGCCCTGATTATCTGCAGTACCTCCCACCAGTTGAGGTTGAAACCGAAGCAAACGTAGAATATCTTTTATCATCTCTCCATGAACCCAATCGCAAGCCAAATGAGGCGGATAATTTTTTTTTCACCGGCTATCATACAACCGAATTTATTCGCCGCCCTCCTCGATTTCGGCATTTCTCGTTACAAGCGTGGAGACATCGTTGGCATAAGCAGACTACTTGGCGTAGGTGGCATCATCAGACAGTGAGATTGCGTGTATGGCCGTGTTTGCCTTTAACTTGCTCAGGAATGGTTCCAGCGAAATGGCTTACACCATGGGCAAAAAGCATACAATCAATAGATCTGGGTAACATGGAAGGCGTTCATCTTACACCAGTCATGGGCAAACTGCAGCCTGCATGCGGTCCGTTTGGTCATTCTGAATGGCACGCTTAATTTCATTAGGAAAATAACGTTTCTTTTGCTTCGTTCTCATTTGTTCACTCACACACTCTCTTATATAACCAAATACATAAACAAGGACTTCGACGTGTCGTAATGGTTAGCAATTTTATATCGCTAGATCCATTACGACTGCGTAGTGATTTCGATCCTCACTGGAAGCTCCACGCTTTCGGCCTTGTGCCACATCTAAACTACCCTTAGAAAATCATTTGGGCACCTCAGTGTGGTGTAATAGTTAACAAGTTTGTCTGGGTAGATCCATTACGACTGCGTAGTGATTTCGATTCTCACTGGGTTCCCCCTACTTTCGGCCTTATGCCATACCTAAGCTACGCTTAGTAAATCGCTATATAAACGTGTATTAAGCAGAATGTTTCTTGAATTTTGTAAACTTTCGGTGAAACTGATATTTTCATCATTTTAAACCGTTGGCTATTTTTTACTAAGGAAGACGATACGTGTAAATATATTTTGTTTTTGAAACAGGAAACATTCATAATTTTCATTACTCTGGAGCAGAAATATTCTTTTTTTTTTTTTCATTTTCAAATCAGTAAATTAGAAATAAATCCTATGCAGCGGCATGTGTTAATCACAATCATCAGTGATAATATTATACTAGGACTTTTTTAATTATAGAAACATCTTCTCTATGTAAAAAAAAAAATCCTCCCACCACCATCATTTCTAAGATATACGCTTACCTTTTCTCCGTAGAAAAAATCTCCCCCCCCATTTCTAAGATGTATGCTTGCGCATATGTTTTCTGTAGTAAAAACAGCTGAGGTATCACCAACGAAAAATGACCTTGAATCTTTTTAGCAGTGGGGTCCTCCTTCTCATGAGCCCTAGATTATTCGGGCCACTACTAAAAAAAGGTTGTCAATGTTTGCCTTACGCTGTTCACTTCTATCAATGCTTCGGAGCCGCATACAATGACCGAATCTAGATATGAGAGAGCGACCTCGTGTTGCAACGGGTGGGCTCTGTGGCTGTTGAAGAAACACAAATAGGCCTGAGTAGACGGGTGTGCTCAGAAGCGAGTAGCCATACTGCAAATTGGAAATGACGCCGATTCGTAGTGTGCCTTCAAGTTGAAACATCCCTGATGAATGGAAATTGCTGCCAAAAACCTCCCAGATAAATGTGCAGTGATTAACAATATAGCTATACTTTTGGTATCCGTCATTTATGAGATTTCATAACTTTTGATTGTAAAGATTTTCCAAGCGTAGCTTAGATGTGGCACAAGGCCGAAAGCATGGGGCATCCGGTGAGGATAGAACTCACTTTTCAGTAGTAACTGATCTAGCATGACAAGCTTGCTAACCATTACACCACGCTGAGGTGCCCAATATAGTGATTTTCCAAGTGTAGTTTGGATGTGGCACAAGGCCGAAAGTAAGGGGCACCTAGTGAGGATCGAACTCACTACTCAGTCGTAATTGTTCTAGCGAGACAAGCTTGCTAACCATTACACCCCCCCTCGAGGTGCCCCTATTAATTTTCTAAGCAAGGCCTAGATGTGGCACATGGACGAAAGTACGGGGCACCCAGTGAGGATAGAACTCACTATTCAGTTGTAACAAGACCAGCTAACCATTACACCACGCCGAGGCGCCCAAACTTTTAATTGCAAGACAGTGATCTTTGTGTTGATTGTCTTCTTTTTCCCCTATTCATAGTTTATACAGATAAAGTATTATCTAAAGATAGCAACCCCTAAGCCCAGCCATTTCATCTTACTATGAAACAATGGCATACTGATTCCGGCAGCCAGCTAACTCCTCCCAGCAAAATAAGTATCAATCATAAAATTTGAGGTATTTTAACGCAACTTTGTTCTATTTTCTTCGTATTTCTCCATATTTGCACATTTTTAATCTTTTAGCATTCAACCCGTCCTGTAAATACCGGCTTTCCAAGTTCAACCCGGTACATGTCATAATATATCTTGGGAAGTCCATTATTAGTTTTGTACGATAAGGTTTGCTTATCATAGTTGCGGTATAAAGTACAGGC